TCCATGCATTAGTCAAGTTTCAACATATATATATATAATTTCCTTACGGATAACACAACTCTGAGCTTTATGTGCGATGCAATCGTCAGGTACTGATTGAAAACTGACTATTGCATAATTTAAATGTTGATATTTATACCGTACTGTAATGTTTGTTGAGAGTCCATTTATTAACGGGAAAGGGGGAATAATTTATTTATATATGAAGAAATTACTTAACTTTTAAATTAAAAAATTGATATTTAAAAGTTATGTAATTTTTTCATCTAATATTATTATGTATAAAAATATCTGCTGTTTCTTAAATAATTTTATACGCACACATACACATAGATATATATAGGGCATGATAAACAAGGAACAAAGCAGTACTTTTCAAAAGACCAGGGAGAAGTGTAAACCGGGCAATAGGCGAACCTACCTACTATTTCTGCAGGCGTCAACAAGTTTATTCACAGTGATACTTTTCGTGTGAAAATAATGCTAAAACTTCAGTTGAAGCTATAACTCTACTCATAAAAGTGTTTTATTGCCTCTGTTGACAATTATAAAGTCAGATTTCGTAAGTGACCTGAGAAAGTCAACGTGTTTAAGAAAATGGCGCATAATGATTAAACAACCCCAGTTTAATGTAACAAACACAGCGGCTTAAATAAACATCTTGATTAAAATGAGATTCTTTTATAAAGACACATTTTTTTATACGTACTATGACAAGAATATTGGTGAATCTCGATGTCATCCAAAGCAATATCCCCATAAAATCCAATTCCGGAATTAGCCTCAAAGACGACCTGCAAAGAAAAAGAAAAAAGGTTTTAACAAAATTGTTATGGATTCCGGGATGAAATCCGGTACCAATAAATAACAAACGCCAAGAAGGAATATAGGAAAAATAAATGTATTAATGTAATAATACAAACTGGTAATGCAGGTTAATAGTTCCAGGAATGCAGGTTAGTAGCAATATATATATATATATATATATATATATATATATATATATATATATATATATATATATAGTCTTTGGTACCGACGTATCACTGTATGACTTCTTACTGAGTCTACGCGCATGCTCACTGTGACTCTTGCTCGTTCGTTCTACTTTCTCGTTCTTCCCCCGGGTATTCACGTAGCAGTAGTATATGTATATACCCTGGGTGAGTCCATTTGTGCAAAAAGGGAGAATCCCTCAACAAAAATAATAATACCAGAGCTTAAAATTCTTAATATCTATTTCTTTTGGTTTACTTTTAATTTTACCAGTAATCTGATCAACCCACTTTGTTTCATAGAAAATTGATACTGAACATTTGTCATTTTGTATAAATCTTCAAAGATCGGAAAATTTTTTCAGTGAACAAATCGAACTTAAAACGCTTGTTCAATTCTCATTAAATCACATACTCTGACCAGTTCAGTGAGTTTTTTTTTTTTAATTTATATCTCTTGGGTTAATTCATTACATTGAATTATTATATGAATTAATGTTGCATCTCTTTCTCGACATCGACAACCGATGCAATTTTATTGAATCTTTCCGCTTTCGGCTTTACTATAGTTCTTTCTAATTCTCGTAATTTCGTTTCTCTTTTCAAGTGTCCTCTGGACAACAATGTATTTTTTAGCAGCTATATTGGGTGTTTTCTATTAAGTTCTAAATTTTGTTGGTTTTCCTTCAAATTGTTTGAGTTTTAATTCTTATTTTTATTTTTTCCTTTTTATCAAGTGTTGAACATATGAGAAACGACAAAGTTTTAGAGTAACTGAAAACAAAAAAAGCACACTTATACTTAATATCCGAAAGAGACAGTTGAAATTTCTAGGGCATTTAATGAGGAAAGAAGGCTTGGAAAAGTCGGTACTCACAAGACATACTCAAGGAAAGAGAAAGACGGTGCATAACCTACCTAGAAAGCTTGTGGAAATGGATGGCAGAACAGAGTTTAGGTGAGATAGTAAAAAGACAAAATTTACTAAGAGCTACAAAGGACAGGAAATTGTGGAGAGCCATAATCACAAACGTTCTGAAAGGGCATGGCATATCGAGCTTATAAACTTCTTCTGTCATCATTTTTTCTCTTTACTTATTCTTTCTTTTATATGAATTATTATTTAAATGATGGTTATTTAGGATCTTACCAAATAAATAAACCATATGGGTGTGTTGTCAAATAGTTCGAACTATGACATCGTGAAATCTGAGTTCACATCCTAAAATGATCGCTTTTTTTTCAAAATGACTTCTTGATAATATTAGCACTGGAGGAGGCTTCCTGCGTGTGGAATCGTTGGGAAAGTGACTAAAAACCATATCCCGATTTAATCCAAGACTTCTGAGTGAAATTAGTTTAACGAAGCTCTCCGGAAACCGTCGATAATTGCGCTATCACGAAATCGTGTCAACGTGGGCTTTGTTTCAACTATTGATCAGAGTAGATCAGCGCTCTCCTTCAGAAACGGTACCTAAGGCCTGCTTGGCATAGCTGCAGCTTAACCTGCAAGTTAGCACTGTGAGTGTTGGCGTACACAAATGTGGCTGAGCCAGCGTCTACAGTAGGGTTTAGCTAGCCACTCTAGCAGACAGGTGTAAGCGGAAATGCACAGGTATTATTATTATCATTATTACTATTATTATTAATAAAAACTGCATATACCTTAAATATATAAATATCCACGATCTTCGGATATAAAATCTGAGATCGTATTTATTTTACTTTTATCACCCAATTTAAGCCATAGTCAATCCATGTTTTGTCAGGCAGAAGGCTGGAAACAGAGAGCACTCAATGAGGAAGGGATTCACTACAGTATTAAGCATACGAGTCAGTCCTGTCATTCTTTACGCTCGAGAGAGATATTCTTCTATTCTGTGTAGTTCTTAAAAAATAACAAGAGATTTCAACTTTCTTCAAGGATTAAATCAGCACCTGATATTCCCAAGCGATCACCCATCTAAATACTGACCATTTTCGATGGTGCTTAACTTCAGTGATCGTTCCAAAAAATGGTGACCGAATGAACGGATGGTAAAACAGAGATAAAAATAGGACTGTCATGATTTACTTCGAACAATAATAAACAAGAAGTTGTGGAGAGCTATAATCATCCTCGTCTTCAGTGGACATGGCATATAAAAGAAAATGTAATGATCTAGAGACAGGCTCGTCATCCATTAATTTCGAGTGAGCCGGCATTGTACAGTGTGGTTCTTAAAAATAAGAGATTTCACTTTTTTCAAGGATGAAATTATTTACCTCTCTTCATATTCCGACAAAAACAGCCTCACTAAACTGACCTGCAATGATTGATATCCTTTCAGGTTGACTTTTCCTTTCCTCCAATTCTTTCCTTGGAATCTTTGTCGCTTCCAAATCGGAGCGCTTCTTTGGCCGTTGACCAACAACAGCAAAGACAGAGCACCAACCGATTCACCGTACATACTGTACCAAAACGTTAAACATTTCGTCTGATGATTTTTTAAACTGATTTTCGGACTGATTATCCGAGCTACATCTCCTGCTTTGGTCGGGAAAGACGATTCAATATAAATATAAGAACCGGCTGAAAAGAAAGAAAAATACATTTTAATTAGTAGAAAGGGACATGTACGCACGCGCGTTGTGTGTTCAAACGTTATTATACTGGATATTCGTATTTGAAATAGACGCCTCATTAATTATTTTTTAAATAATTTTATTTTCATATGGAGCGTCTGTTTCAAATATGAGTATCCATTAAATAACGTTTGAAGTAATAAAATATATCGGATTTAAAATAAATTCATACTTTTATTTGTATATGAACTCCATATCGACTAATACAAAAATCACTAGGCTAAAACTCTCAAACGTCGAATTATTGTTTATTTAAATCCGGACCTCGTCAGTTAATGTCGGCGGGTGCAAATTTGAGGCCCTCTTTGACTTTAATTATTCTTCTCGAAAGGGCATAAGTTATTTTATTATTCTCCTTTATGTGTGGTATTTATATATCTGCATGTCACACAGTTTTTTTTTTCTACCGCGTGCATATGCTGTGCATTTAGATGTGTGGGTAGCCATTGACGTTGGGTGACAACGCGGATCAGTACCCGGTGAAGTCACTGAAACCAGCATTAAATAGATCATAACCCCACACAAAGAATACACATGCACACATAATGGCCAAATACAGTGGTCGAACCACTCCCATGTATACGCCCACACTCACGTATCTCTGGAGCACGAATATATATAAACATACTGGCAAAAACAAATAGACTACTCACAAACACACACACCAACCCTACACAACATAGGAAGTGTGTGCATGTATCTTACTTAATATAACACGCAGATTGTGTGTGTGTGTGTGTGTGTGTGTGTGTGTGTCTGTTCGTTTATATATGGGATCGTATTTCCTACATTTTTCAACCGATTTCAACAAAACTTCACAGGACTACGTAAAATTATCCGGCGGTGGTTCTGACAGCGCTAAAAATTGGAAAAAACAATTGTTTTTGCACGAAATTAATTTGAAAGCACGGAAGTTACTGCCGGCTACTCAAACGACCAAAAGCCTCACCGCGGAAACAGAACGAATGCCGTTAACTTCCGGTGACTCAGCGTTTTTTTGGGTTTTTTTCAGAGAACGATACACAAAAAGTAAAACAAATGAAACCTAAACATACACAAGTCCTCCTAACTAAAAATAATAACCGGAAATTACTTTAAATGTATATGGTGTACAAATGAAACCCATGTGTACAGTCAAAATGCGGAAGTTAATTTTTAGTCATCGACATCAGATATTGCCAACCGGCTACGATGCTAACCGCAGCCGACATAAACACAGCCGATTTCTTCCACCAGTCTCGTTCGGGGTGGTTGACTGCCCCTGAACGCGTTTATGCGGATTCAAAGAGGGAATATTTTTGGCCGAGCCTACGGGTTCGGAGATCCCACGTGAAAGCCGGCCTTGTTCCACATGTAACCCTCGTGGGGGGTAGCTAAATATCACTTGGCCAACTTGAGATAGATAAATGCAAAAAAGAAAAGAATGGGGGTGGGTGGAAAAAGAGATAAAAAAGAAAATGAAAAATATAAAAAGAAAGGGACAACAGCAGAAAATAAGAAATAAAAAAAATGAAAATGGCAAACAAGAAATGAATGAAAAAATTGAGTAAATATAGACATAATGAAAGAAAAATTAGAAGAAGAGGAAAGGTAAGCTGGGAAAAAAAAAGATGAGACAGACTTATAGCAAAAAAGAAAGAGGAGAAAAGAGAAATTGAAAAAAAAAACAAGATAAAATTAATTTAAACGAAAAATTGAATGATGTAGAAAAGGTGAAAAAAATTAAGCAAATAAAACAAAATTTGAAGATGTTGGAAGGAAATTAATGAACAAAAAAAAACATTAAAGGAAAAAAGAAAAGAATGAAGTAAAAAGAATCAGAAAATAAGAAAAAATACAGAGTTTAAAAAAAAATGAAAAAAAAAATGGAAAAAGAATGAAAATGATTGGGGAGGTCAGGTAGCAGAAGGTGAGAGAAAAAGAAAGAAATGAAAGAGTAAGAGAGATAAATGGGAAAAGGAAAGAATGAGAAAGAGAGTTAGGGAGGAAGAGAAGGCGAGCAGTAGAGAAAGAGATGAGAAAAAGAGAAGTAGAAAGAGAATGCAAAATTAAATAGGAAGAAAGAGGAAAGAAAAAGTGAAAGAAAAATGTCAGAAAGCAATGAATGAAGAAAGAAATTGAAGTAAAAAGAAACGAAATACAGAAGAAAAATATAAAGTTTAAAAGCAGAAAGAAGGAAAAATGAAAAATAACAAAGATGGTCAGGTAATCAGAAAATGAAAGAAAAAAAAAGAACTGTAGTGAAAGAGTTAAACTACTAAATAGTTAAGAATAAGATTAGCTTGTTAACCATTACTCCAAATAATTTTAAGCTTAGCCCAGTCTGGTACAAGACCACAAGTTTTTGGTACCAAGTATGGGTCTAACACACTACAAGAAATAGTCTATTATACTACCTTGTTAATTATTACTCCAAATAATTTTTAAGCTTAGCTTAGTCTGGCACAAGGCAACGATGGTGGGGACACTTAAGGAAATAAAATTCACTACAATAATACTCAAAAAGACTAGATTGTTAAATATAACTCTGGCACAAGGTCAGTAATGTAGGGTACCAAAAACGGAACATATTATAATGGTAATATTAGCTGTTTCCTTATAAGGAAACAATCAACATTCATTGACCAAGCATTTAAACTTGCTGTCAATTAGAATTTATAAAATCTTTCTCTTAAAACAATTTTTTAGGGAAATAGTCCAGTAGCTGTTATTGCTCTTTGCAGTATTGATGTGAATTTCCTTCCTTGCTTTTTATTTGGGGTGGAGTGGAACACGAACATCTTGATTATGTCATTATTTTCTCTTCAAGTTGCATGTGCCATCCATTTTAGTTGTTACTGCTGCTGAAGATCCTCAAGTGATGTGACTTATTGATTGAGTCATTTCCTGCAACTTATCAACCCTTTGCCAGAAAGTCAATATTTAGAGTGTAAGAATTTTTTTTAAGATACTAATGGTTTACTGATACAAGTCTTAATAATTATGTCATAGCTGGGGGGGGGGTAGGAGAGGTGGAGTCATATCTTCCCATAAGATATTTGTGTATCTATCTATAAAAGGCAGGATGTGTGTGTGTGTGTGTGTGTGTGTGTGTGTGTGTGTGTGTGTGTGTGCAACGAATGCACGGCCGCAATTTTCGACGGATTTGCACCAAAAATTTACATACACATGCTCTAAGTTAGCGGAAAGGCCAAGACCGACTTTGCATTTCCAAAACTCCCATAAATAGTGGAAATAATCGTTCTTTTCATGCTTCTACGGCAGTTTTCATGTAGTTTGCGACCATTTTCTACTGGCCAGAGTGAGAGCCTATAACTGGCTGCCACGAATAGGCAGGAAGATTCTATTGGCCAGCGTGAGAGCCAACAGCTGACTGAAACGAATGTTAACTAGCATGCTAGCATGCAAAAAAAAAAATCAATAGCTGCATTCGTCACAAGTGGGAAAAATTTAAATCTGCATGGCACTTTACTCCAATTGGGTCATTCGCTTGCTTAAACTCAACGTTGATTCTGATTCCGCAGAACTGGGTTGGATGTGAAAAAGTATTTGTTGTTAACATTCTTTTTTTTCATTCGGTTTTTCCTGCTACGAGTTCTTTTTTAAAGCTGATCGTTTTGTGTTCATTTTGTTTAGTTCTTTTTTCGTAACAGATTTAATGTTTAGTATAGAGCTTAGGAAAAATTCGCAGTGTGAGATAGGCGAGAAGTAAGGCATGTAGTAACATCAGCACGGCAAAGGGCACTCCTTTAAAGGCAAGGAAGGGCAAAAATATTTTAACTCAAGTGATAGCGATTGCTGTATGAGTCGTACGATTTTTGAATCAAGCACGGGCAACCTCGGGCCATGCTGCTAGTATATATATATATATATATATATATATATATATATATATATATAGGGGTATATATATATATATATATATATATATATATTATTGTAGCATCATCTGGGGTTACGTTGCACACTACGCATATAACCTCGGAGAGGATGGGACTATTTTTATAAAAATATCTTATAACGGTCCTGTTCCCTCAATCTCACAAGCATCAATTCCAATGAGATTGTCTTCTTTTTTTTTCACTTGCAACGCTTATGTATAACAAAATAATATGCAGCACATTTTTGGAGGAAAGACATTTACAATAGACTGCTTAGTTAATACAACTTATAGGCCTCCGTCGGTCAGATTTGACCATGGGTAGCATCCTAGTTGTCTGCTTGGCTGGAGCATCGACGGCTGTGACTGTAGAGGCCGATGCAGGAGTGACAATCTCTGTTGCAGAGGTCGCATATGTGTTCTGTCTCTGGTCTGTTGGAGTTGTCATTTTGCTTTTTGCGGGCCCACCTTTCCGTGGCGACTTGTGTAAGCTTCTCCTCCCCTGACTTGAGGTGTTTGGTCAAGGTTCCTCTCCATTCGGATCGTATGGCTGCCAGGCTCTCCCAGGTATCTGTATTGACGTCTACAGCTTTCAGGTCGCGCCTCATGACATCGCGGTACCGCAGCTGTGGCCGCCTGGTCGGTCTCCTTCCAGAGACCGCCTCTCCATACAGACGGTCTTTGGAGATGCGGCCGTTTGGCATGCGTTTGACAGGGCCTAATCAATGGAGTCTGCACTGTCTGAGCAATGTGAACATGCTGGACCGACCTTCTCGAGACAGGACCTTAGTGTTAGGCACCTTATATTCCCAGGATGCGGCGTACGTGGTCCAAGCCTCGCTGCAATATAGCAGTGTGCTGATGACGCAGGCGTTGTACACTGCTATCTTGGTCTTCACCGTCAGCTTCGGATTTGTCCATACCCGTGTTGTGAGGGGCACAAGGGTTGTGGCTGCCTTTCCGATTCACTTGTCAATCTCTGCGTCTAAGGTTGTCAGTGATGTTAATACAAAAGCTTTCACAAATATTTCGCAAAATTATTCAATCAGCAAAGTTGTATGGAAGGAAACAAATAATAATGTCAGTATTTCGATCCATTTCTATAGTAAAATAATTAGCAATAAATTTACATAATAAATAGAATAGACTTATTCTGTCACTAACATCCTGATTAATTCCCAACCACTTGCAATCATTTTGTCCCCAATTTAAATATGCATTTCAATTTTATTTCTATAGTAAAATAACATATTGTCTGTAAAGCGCGCACAAATCCCTGGAAGCTGGCAATAACCTTTCTTTCATATTGCCTATGTATTTCTATAGTAAAGTCATTTACCTTATGCAACTATGCTGAGCTTACGTTCTTTAGTTACAGTTTCTGGGAGATAGCTCATAATCTGGTGTGATTAACTGTTTTAACAAAAGCCAGTATGCGCAAACACTCGGTCACGATGACTTCGTGCTATTACAATCATCGACAACGTCTGAACAGTTCCGTCTACTCTTAACATGGTTTTCTGATATCTTACAACGGTTCCTCGCCCAAGAATCACATTCTCGGGCCGATATAATCAAAATGTCATCAAATCGAGTGTGGTGCGATTCGAACCTGGGTTTCAACTGGAAAGCGAGCGTACCAACCACTCGGCCACACGCACATCTTGTGATTCAACCATGCAAGTATATTTCCGACCTATAACAATTTCAACTAATTCGTGTATTAATTCGAAGACTTTCAATACATAACACTATGTAAAAGCTTGCCAGACAAGATGTTTTGTATGGAGGGAAACAATTGATAGCCTGAACTTGATAAGTCTGGAGAATATGCTGCAGGTGAAAGAACCACCTACGTCCCCAGCTCCATCATCGTCCGCTGCGTCACATTTGTAACATGAGGATAGATATTGACGTGCAGCAAATAACTGTTCATTATCATTCTCCAGAAAAAAAAGGGGTCTTTTCTCTTTTGGTCCTCACTGTAACGTTGTTCACTAAAGCGTTTCAACTTCTAGCGTTTTGTAATAAACTATTCCAACAAAGCACGGATTAATACTTCTCTCAAATTTACACCAAAATTTGTGCAAATATACATAGACATAGAAAGCTTTTGCATCAGATTAATAAGAATTCATATATAAAAAAATCCCGCCATTTGTCTCATGCTAGCTTTTAATTAATTCACCAGTGGCAGGACAAAAAGAATCAGTTACGTATGAAAATCAAATACCTGTTTCGGCGAGTAAATAAATGGTCGATATTAAAAATGTTTACTAAAATCGTTAAACATTTGCAGCTAAGTCTACTAGCAAAGGTTGCGAATAATTTCATTCAAATAAATCCCGGTATTAGATGCTTTACGAATTCCAAGTTAGACGACATCACGTTCAAAACCCTCGTTCTCGTACGATCACAAGCGTTGTAAGCTGAGATGTGCATCTCTAATGAATAATGGCTCGGAGATCGAAGAGCCAAGTTTCTAGTTCTTGTCGGGTTCGTTATATCTATATGCAAATATTCTTGGGGGAAAGTATGAATCCACCTGTTCTCCCGCAGCTATGGGTTAATTGGTAGGACTTGTATCAGTATATCATTATCTAAAAAAAATCTTAGAATCTCAAATTATTTTCTGGTTTTAAATAACCTGCAAACGGTTGACAGACCGTAAAAAATGCAAATTATTCAAACAATCCAAGTCTGACATATGAAAATTATTTGACATATAAAAGCAGTCGCCATTATTCTTCATCTCTTTTATACAACATATTGCGTGCATGAAAAATTTAACGTATTTAACCAGATATATATGCACTAGTGATCATTAATGTATTTTTCGTCATTTTTCCTTTTGGTCATAGATGATGAGTCTGTTGTGATACGGTCTTGTCTCTTTCAGCGCACCATTCAAATTAATCATTGGATCACTATTTGTAATAACACAGATCATGCGTTAATTCTAGTAAATCAATCATTTCGGAAGGACATCTATCTTAATGTCTGTCTGTCAAGTAAATAAATTTTTGCCGTTCACTTGGAGTAGCTTAAAGTCAGCCCACCCGAAAATCAATATTAATAACAACAATTAGGTGCAACCGAGGCACCTCCTCAAATGCGGGGTTAAAAATTTGAATGGCGGGTAGGACGGTTAGCCCTTACTAGAGCCATTTTTGCATTCTCAATCTTGAAGGAAGGAACCGTCATAATAATAGTAACATACGATTATTTTTTATTTAAGATATAATTTTTTTTTGTAACTAATAATCTTTTGCGTTAAATTTCAACTCTCTAAATTGATTGTATGCTGTTTTTTTACAGACATTAAATGTTGCCTTTGATTTTTGCGCATGTAAAAAAATCACTTTTTTTTTGATTTTCGCCTTCAAGGTTGTTATTTTTCCAAACCAATTTAGATTCAAAGTTGAGACTGAAGAATTATCTATGAAACAAAAAAAATCGGATGAAAACTGTGGAAACGCATAAACAACATCCGATCACACACACATATATACACACACATTTTGAGAATTATAGATATAGATACTACATTTTGCTTTTGTAAATAAAATCTATTTCCTGTCACATGGAATTTCTATTTGTCCTTATATGGACACGAACTTGTTTCATTTATTGACCGTGCAGAGAGTACTGCTTTCGGTTGAAATTTATAAAATCTTTCTCTTGAAAGAAAGTTTCAAAAAATAGGTTTTTCAAGTTCAAAGATTTTACCGCTTTTTTCCGGTATTGATAGAGGTTTCTGTCCTAACCTTTTATTTGAAGTAGTGTCGAATATCAACATTTTGATGATGTCATTATTTTCTCTTGAAATTACAAAATGTTATCCATTTTAGTTGTTGCTACTCTTAGTAGACCTCAAATAAGACGGATGAAAAATATGTAAATCGTTCATTAATTCTAGTACATCAGTCGAAAATCTATTTTAATGTATGGCAAATAAATGAAAATAAACTGTTCCTAAATCTGAAGCAAAGGTAAAAAGATCGTAAATCTTACTGCCTGAGGTGTGGTCAGCCGAAGGTCCAGTTCTATGTGTTGGAGAAGTTCGATTGATTCGAATCCAATTTATGTCATCTGTGGTATCTTGAGTCCAGCCGCAAATGTCATAAGTGAAATGGCACGAAACACTGGGTACTAATAAAAAGAAAAAAAAATATTCTAAAATTTACTGCTATGACTTATCATGAAGATGACTGTTTCTGCTAAGGAACAAATATAATCAGAATCATGGCCAATCTACATATAAAATCCCATGACACCAATGTCCCTGTTAAAAATGCTTAAATCTCTTTAAAACTAGTAACACAAAGATAAACCTCTCCCTTCCAATGGTTACAATAATAAAAATCTGCCGTCTCATCACCAACCAATACTATTTCACAACTATATAATAAATGCGTGTGTCAGTGTGTCACACCTTTTCAATTTTAATCCTAGAGGCCGTAGCCCAACATATCATACCATTTTGGAATCAGGCCGACCCTATGAGAAATTTTTTTAAAAATTCCGGGCCGGATCCGGAACCGCAATTCTAAAATTTTGGATTCCCAAGTTTTCATTACTGCGATTGTTTTCGAAATCCGCCATCTTGGCTTCTACTGATAAAAACAATTAAATGGACACATTTCTCTAACTTTCAATAGCTCATGTTCAAATGAAAATTTCACTGTTCCCAAATTAGTGTATTAGCTGTAGCCCAACATATACCATTTTGGAATCAGGGCGGCCCCGTGAGCAAATTTAAACATTCCGAGACAGATCCGAAATAACAATCCTGAAATTTTGAATTCATACGTTTTCATTAATTGTTTTCGGTGAATTTTTTTATATGATTTTTTGCGACAATTTTTTTGTTCGGTAATAGCTTTTATATCTTGGAAATAAATTTTGGGAATAATCGAAATTAATTGCAAAACCCAGCGAAAGTCATCCATGATTAAAATAATTGTACGGAAAGTAAGGACCTACGTACATCAAATTATATTTAAATTAAGTGACGGAAGAAGAATTATCGTCGAACTTTTAAAAGGTAAGTTTAAATATTAATGCAATACCTAAATGCAGCGATCTATTTTTTTCGTTCTTCTGTAGTCTATTGTTTCTTATCGCATCTACTCCCTACCTATTGTGATGAAGGCTCTATCAAGAGCCT